TCTCGGTTTCTTGGTAAAGACTTAAGACAAAGCTCAAAGGCCCGACGACACGTCGTCGTTAAAGAAGATATGATAAAGTAAAGGCGTATGCGTAGAGAAGCTTCCCCTTTTTATCTTGCCGATCAAACCCTCTCTCGGCTTCTTCTTCTTCTTCTTCTTCAGTAACTTTCTCTCTCTCTCACTCCTTCACACTCCTAAAGCCAAAAAGCCTGTAAGTAAATAAAACCTGTACGCCCACCGAAACCCTAGTTTCAATTTCCAAAAATAATAACTATGAAATATTTTCGAATACCTTTGTATAATAATAATTCAATTTTTTGTTCCAAATTTCGCTCAGCTTCAGAGCCAGAAGAGCCCCAATGACAGACCCCTCCGACGAGGCCAAGAACATCGAGAAGCTCTACGAGTTCGGCGAGCGACTCAATGAGTCCAAGGACAAATCCCAGGTCCCCCTCCCATTCTCTCATATTTGGGGGTTTTTTATGTGGACATTTTATTTCTAGGGTTTTGGGTTTTAATAGTTTGGGATTTTTCTTTGTCCTTTCAGAATGTGGCTGACTACCAGGGGATTATTGATGCGGCCAAGACGAGCATCAAGGCCAAACAGTTGGCTGCGCAGCTTATTCCTAGGTTCTTCAAGTTCTTCCCCGACCTTTCGGAGTCTGCCATCTATACCCACATTGATTTGATTGAAGAAGAAGAGCTCGGGGTCAGTTCATATTTGTATACCTACTCATAAATACATGTGTAGTTCAATAATTTGGATTCTTCTCTTCATAGTAAATAATAGGGGGATGCGGAGCAATAGGTTGAATTACTATATAGAGAAGAGTTGTAAACTATAGGACTTCTTGTTTGAGTAGGAAGATTTCGGAAAAATATGAGGCATTTCTTACTTTTCGTGGAGGATTAGATCCAGTAACGGGAGGTCTATGCATTTATTGCATTGTATACTGTATTTGGTAACTGGAATATTGAGGGATTTTTTCTAAAATAAAATTTGATTCCTATACAAAAATTGTTGTGTTAAATTAGTTTGATGTGACATAGTCAAAGCCATGTACAGCGGTAGCTGTATGTTATTCTTGTCTGGGAGTTTTGTTACTCAGCTCAAAGTTTTAATTTTCATCATTTATGAAATGTGCAGGTTCGAGTTCAAGCTATTCGGGGCCTTCCCCTTTTCTGTAAGGATACACCTGAGCAGATTGCAAAAATTGTAGACATTCTTGTGCAACTCCTTGCCGCTGGTAAATTATTATTATTTGTCATTGTTTTTGCGATTCTGATTTTGGGAGTCTATTGATTGTGTTATATGAGTCTGATGTTGGGCATTGTTGATGCTTTTAGAGGAATTTGTGGAGCGTGATGCTGTGCATAAAGCACTTATGTCCCTTTTGAGGCAAGATGTGAAAGGTAAATATGTGGACTTATAAACTGAAAGGCTATGATTAAGATTACAGATTATTTTATGGAAGGATTTTGGTATAAGCTATATTATTTCTAGCTTTCATTTCAGCACCTGATACATCTCTGGTCCATGTAAAAATCTAACTCTTGCATAATATACCTTATCTTCTTGTATGTGTAGTTTCTTTGACAGCCTTATTCAAGCACATTGGGAGTGTTGATGAACCAAGCACAGATGAGTTTATTCGTGAGAAGGTTTTAACCTTTATTCGAGAGAAGGTAAAACCATTATGCTCTACTAGTCTTCTGCATTGCTTCGTTACCTCTATTGTTGATTGATATGCGGTCCTCTTCCCCTCATGCTACAGTTATTTTAAAAAAAACATTTGGAAGTTATGATCTCTTCAATTTTATTTTACTATTCTGTTGTAAGGTAGCAAGATGTATGACTAATATGATTGAGTCCAATTGCAGAGTTTAGAAGATGTAACTGGGGCAGAATTTAGAATGTTTATGGACTTCTTAAAAAGTTTGAGCATATTTGGGGAGAAAGCTCCTCCTGAACGCATGAAAGAACTAATTGGTATTATTGAAGGACAAGCTGATTTAGATGCCCAATTCAATGTAAGTGTTTGTTTTATTGTGTTGATTTTAAGGATAATGAAATAGCAGCTTTGAGCAAGAGTACTATGCAAAATATGCTGGAAATGAATATGGAATTATTCCTTTGTGATATTACTGCTTAAGAATGTAGGTGGCTCTTTTAATAACTTTTTGTGAAATGGTTGGAATGCAGGTTTCAGATGCAGATCATATTGACAGGTTGATATCTTGCTTATTCATGGCTCTGCCATTTGTTGTGGTATGCCCTCTCATATTATAGCTTTTTTCCTTGCATTTTGCTGTGTAAATTTTTTTTTTAGCAATCAAGTAGCAGCCCTGTTTATTCATATTTTTTTTTATATATATATAGAGGGGTGCGTCAAGCAGCAAATTCCTCAACTATTTGAACAAACACATCCTTCCTGTTTCAGATAAGGTAACATCTATACTTTTAATGTTCTGGTATACTCTTCCAGTATGCGCGCCAAGTTTCTTGGTAATTTAGAGAGTGTTATTTCTGTATTCTTGTTTTCATAAATTGAGTCAGTATTGCCCCAAATAAAATTGAGTAAGGATAGCCTTAAAAAATGTGGTATATATATAATTGAATTTGGGATAGAATAACTATTTCTCTGACTTTATTGATTTATGTGTGAAATGTGTTATCTCTCACCCCAAAAAAAAAAAATTGTTATCAGGATTTGGGATGATATATCATATTTACTAGTAATTATGTTCTTCTATCAACTAGGTTTAAGAATGAGAGCTTGTATTACTCGCGTTAGAAAAACAAAAGAAGTGGGGAATAACTGGCATTGGTCTTCTAATCTTGTTTTGTCATCTTTTATTTTACTTTTTCTTGAATCAA